CAGTCCTGACATGACAGTCCTGACATGACATTATGAGACAAAGAACCTCCAGTGACGTTGTTGAGTTTATTTTCTGTGCCACTGATTGCTGGGCATTGCAACCTATGCTTAAGTTTGTTTCTTCAGTGAGACTCACTTGGAGAAAACTAAATTTTCATTTGTAAGTGGTTATCAATTAGAGATAGCTTCTGGGTTAGGGATGAGGACATGTGTCCACTCCTTCTTTTAGCACAGGGACCTCATCTGGTGCAGTCCTGTGCAGGTCCTGGGCATGCTGCCTCGGTCTGTGACTTCATATATCTTTTGGTTCATATGGGCATTGATCCTCTTGATTTAGAAGACTTTGTTTTCTTGGTGTCTTCATCCCCTTTGGCTCTTACACTCTTTCTGTTTCCTCTTCTGCACGGTTCCTTGAGCCCTGAGGGGAGAGGTCTGGTGGAAGCATCCTTTTGACAGCGGAGTGTTCCAAGGTCTCTCATTCTCCGCCTAATGTCTGGCAGTGGGTCTCTGTGTTTATTCCCATCTGATACAAGAAGAAGCCTCTCCGATGTCGGCTGAACAAAGCACTGGTCTATGAGGACAGTAGAATGTGATTAGGAGTCATTTTATTGTTACGGTTTTGTTGTTGTTGGTTCGTTTAGAACAGAAGTGTTTGGTTTATCCTAGGTCTCTGGGCTATCATCAGGTTCTTGCTCACCCAAGCAGTGTTGTGTATGGGTTCCATTTTGTGAAGTTGAACCTTAAGTCAGATTAGCTTTTTGTTGGTTACTCCCACAAGTTTTGTGCCGCCATTACATTAGCGCGCGTATCTTGTAAGCAGGATGTCATTGTAGATTAAAGGGTTTGTGACTGGGTTGGTGCTTACGTTTCTCGTTTGCATGCACGGTAGTTTCTTGTACTATAGATTGTGGGCTTGGGTATTGGAGGCTTTCCACAGAGACCTCTGGCCCGGCCAGGGTGTGAGGGTTCAGGCGAAGAGGAGGCAGTGTGAATTGCCTCCTTCGCCTCCGCTGCTGCAGCTGCCTCCACCTCCATCTCTGCAGCTGCCTGATGCTGCTTCAGTTGTTCCAAAATGCTGCACCCGTCGGGTCACTCTGCGCTGAGTTGGGCAGGCTGAGCTGGTGGAGGCTGACTGGCCAGCAAGGAGTGAGGAGGTCGGGGGAGCTTCTGGTGGTGTTTTTTTGGGAGAGCCGATCTCTTCCCCAAGTGGTAGTGTTACAGCTCTTATATCAGAAACTCTCAGAAGACGGAGTAATTCTTGCACACCTTTATTCCTTCTGGATAGGATTCTTATACACAGTTTTGGGGTGGGTCAGGTCTGGCAGCAGGTACTTCCTATTGGCTTGGTCTGAGAGCTTGGGGATACCTTATCTACATGTGGGAGGGCTTGGGGTGCTGCTCCTATGTGACTGGTGGCCACAGACCTCCCTACGGGGGCCGTAGGGGGACTGTAGTTATGTGACAGGGGCCTGGTGCCCAGGAACAGGTGAAACATCTACCATCCCTTCAGGGTCTCTGGAGTTTTGAGCCTTAACTCAACTGGGAACTAGGCTACCTTTCACAGCCCACTGCCCCACAATAGCTGTTAGCCTGTAGGAGTGAAGACTCTGTATAGGCACCAACTCAACATCTCCATGTTGAGTTGTACAGATATTGTAGAGGGCAACCTATAGTCTTGGCAACAGCTTGGGTTGTTTGGGAGATCCCATAGGGCCCCTTTGGCCAACAACTCAATTAGGTGTAACCTAGTCAGGGGACTGGAAGCTTTGTTTAGCAACAAGAGATGTCCAGTTGTGACTCTGTCTCCCCAGTATCTGATAATTTCATTTAGGCCCCCTTCATATATATTTTATAAAGCTTCTACTGTATTAGCATTCTTTCCCTCCTCTCCCCTCTTGTCTCCCTATTTGATCCTCCTGTCCCAGTGTTCTCAGATCCACCCTTCCATGACTGTCTATTCTATTTCCCATTCTTAGGAAGATCTATCTGTCCCTCCTTAATACCTTACTCTAATGCTAGCATCTGTGGTTCTATGGATCATAACTTGGTTATCACTGACTTAAGAACTAACATCCATATATAAGTGAATATACATCCTACTCTTTCTGGGTCTGGAACTACCTCCTATTTCCATCTATTTTTCTGTAAATATTTTTTTAACAGCTGAGTAATGGTCCATTGTGTAAATGAACCACATTTTTTTTATCCATTCATCTGCTAAGTTGTTAACAATTTCTGGCTATTATGAATAGAGCAGCAATGAACATGGTTGAGCATGTGTCTGGGATAGGATGAAGTGTTCTTTGAGTATATGCCCATATACTTACTTAGGGTTTTATTGTTGGGAACAGACACCATGACCAAGGCAACTCCTTTAAGAACAACATTGAATTGGGGCTGGCTTAGAAGAGGTTCATTATCATCAAGGCGGGAACATGGCAGCATCCAAGCAGGCATGATGTAGGAGGAGCTGAGAGTTCTACATCTTTATCTGAAGGCTGCTAGCAGAATACTGGCTTCCAAGCAGCTAGGATGAGGGTCTTATATGCCACACCCACAGTGACACAGCTACTCCAACAAGGCTACACCTCCTAATAGTGCCACTCCCTGGGCCAAGCATACACAAACCATCACAGTGGTGTAGCACACTGGATTTTTTAAAAAGATTTTTCAACCTTTTATTGATTCTTGCTGAACTTCACATTGTGTACCCCAATCCCACTCATCTCCCCCTCCCTTTGTACCCACCCTCCAGCCATGAAACCTTTCCCCAACAGAGAGGGAAAAAACCTCATTGTGGAACGGAAGCTGTAGTGTGTCACAGTGTGTCCCACAGTATTTCCTTTGGTTCACACTTCTTTGCTTGCAGACATTTGGTGACTCATTGGAGTGGTATGAGGCCTCCGGCTTCTGCTACTCTATAGATACTGGAACCTCACTGGGACTCCTCAGATATCCTGTTGTTGCCCTGTGTCATGGAGATACTGTAGTTTTGCATCTGTAGGACCAGCCCCTTCATGAATTCCAGCAATTCATTGATGGGGTAGATGTTGTGGTGGACCAATCGAAAGCCCTGGATTTGGGCTTGAGAGGTATTAGAGATGGTCATGCTCTCATGCCTTAGGGCTGGCTTGCCTGCAACCCCTGCAACCAGGGCTAGCTCCACACTCCTGAGCAGGCGAGGTGCAGGGCCCACTCTCCTGAATGTTGTAGCCACTAAGTGACATGACCAGGTCTCCCACTCTCACGACCCTGGGGCCAGCTTTCTCATCTGGATGAGGGAGGGGAGAAGGGTGTCTCTCTCGACTGCACAGCTGCCCCACAGACAAGAGGCAGAGCCAGCTCTCCTTTGTCTCTCTCGACTGCACAGCTGCCCCGCAGACGAGAGGCAGAGCCAGCTCTCCTTTGCTCACGCCCTTGGGGCTGGCTCGCCTGTAACTCCACATCCAGGGCCAGCTCGACCATGCTGCCCAGGCAAGGTACAGGGCCTGCTCTTTCTAGTGCTGTGGCTAGAGAGGAGCAGGACCAGCTCTCCTGTCTCATGACCCCAGTGCCAGCTCTCCCACATGCCCTAGGTGATAAGGGGCCAGGGTGAAGGACACTGCAACATGGTAGACAAGAAGCAGGACTAGCTCTCCCACACTCGAACCTTCAGGGCCGGCTCCCCTACCATCAGGGTCAGTTTCACTGTGCTGCTCAGATGAGGCACAGGGCCTGCTTCCCTGAGTGCCACAGTGTGTAAAGGGCCGGAACAGCTCTCCTATACTCGTGACCCCATCTTGGCCAGCTCTCCTGCCCACCTCTGGTGGCAAGGGCAAAAGAAAGGAGAGGGGAATCTCTCCCTTGCCAACACACCACACAGCAGGCAAGAAACTGGGCCAGCTCTCCCACACTCATGACCTCCAGACCAGCTCACCCACAATCCTCATAGCTAGGGCCACCTCTATTGTGTTCCCCAGGTGAGGTACAGGGCCTGCTCTTCTGAGTGTTTCAGCTCATAAAGGGCAGGGCTACTCTATGACTCCCAGGACCAGGTCTCCTGCCTGCCAAGGTGATGAGGGTCTAGGGGGAAGGGGTATCTCTCTCTCACCCATGCTACCACAGGGAGATGAGTGGTAGGGCCAGCTCTCCCATGCTTGCATCCTTGGGGCTGGCTAACCCACAACTCCAACAATGTGTGGGGCCTGATCTCCCGATTACTGTGACTGGCTATCCTACTCTTCCACTCTCATGAGTCTAGGGCCAGCTTTCCCACAATGCCTGGGTGAGGGATGGAGCCAGTTCTGCACAGCCCTCAGACATCAACACGCCTCCAGTGGCACCCCAGACCAGGCATATCTGTCTGGCCTCTGGTGGCAACAGACCTCTGCTGCTGCAGGGCCACAGACCCAGATGTGGCCTCCAGTATCAACACAGGCCAGGACCCCACTATGGTCTCAGGTGACATCACTGGCTACTCACATCAGACTGTTCCTCACTACCTTCAGCTCTCCAGTTTTGCTTCTCTTCATTGTGCCCACATCCTTCTGTTTCTCTTTCTCTTCCATTTCTCCACCACTTACTTGCTCTTCTTAGTGGTCCCTGGGGTCTCTGAGTGTCTGGGATAATTTCAAGAGTGCTATGCCCCTCCGGCTCTTGCATTATAGTGCCAGGCAGGGGTCATCTTCAGCATGGTCTGCCTCCCCCCTCACTCTGGAGACCAGGGTTACACCAGACTGGTGTTCATTTCAGGCAAGTTCTCTGTCTGTGCCCCATGGTGTTGGTCCGGTGGTCGTTTCAGACTCACTCCTCTACTGGCCCACTCTAGTGACCATCTGTCTTGGCCTCACTCCTGCCTGGGGCCCATGGTCCCAGGTGGGGTTCTTTTAGTCTCTGGCTTGCTTCCTGTCCTGGGAGCCTGTCCAGCGCTGGCACTGGAGTGGTGGTCATCTCAGGCTAGCTCCCTGTCCACGCCATCTGGCACCAGACTGGTGGTGGTCTCAGGCTCACTTTTTTCAGAGAATGTTAGGCTACTAATCATTCAGATGTCCATAGGTCAGAACAGCTCTGTAGACACAGCCTCTCTCCTTCCGCCACCTACTAATGCACATGTGACGTAGCAGCCATATCTGCCATGCCCTAGGGGCAGGAGTGTAGCTGGATCTGAAGGTGGATAGATTTCCATCTTCCTGAAGAACTACCCCTCTGACTTTCATAGTGTATGAGTTTGCAGTCCCAGAGCAGCGGACTTGATTGCTCAGTGCCTAGCGGGCAGGTGTGCTTCATGTTCAAGTTCATCACTCTTGCTCTCAAGTCTCCTGTGTGCCTTGGAATGGCTGCGGTCTAAGAGGAATGGTCCACTTCTCCCAGGGGAACTCCAGCTTAGGAAATCCTAACAGACCTAGCAAGCCTGCCTGTCCTTCAATGCAGAGAGAGACAGTCATCTATTACCTTGAACATCGAAGTGATCTGCCATTGCCTGAAGGTTGACGTTACCCTTTTCCCAGACTGTTTTCTGTACAGACATCCTTGAGAAGATAAGCCATGAGAGCCATCATTGCCTGTGGTGGTTTGAATAGAAATGGCCCCTATAGACTTAAGTCTTTGAATGCTTGACCCACAGGAAGCTGTACTATTGGGAGGTGTGGCCTTCTTTCAGTAGGTGTGGTCTTGTTGGAGGAAGTATGTCACTGTGGAGGTGGGCTTTGAAGTTATTTATGTTCAAGATACACTCAGTGTGACAGACAGTCTCCTGCTGCTTGTGGATGTAGAACTCTTGGCTCCATATCCAGCACCATGTTGGCCCACATGCTGCCATGCTTCTCATCATGATGATAACGGACTGAACCTCTGAAACTGTATGCCAGCCCCATTGATAATGTTACAATTAGACAGTGCCTCCACTCAGAAGATAGGCAGAAGGCGAAAGCCCAGAGAACTGCCTCTAAATACTTCCCTGCCTGCTCTTACCTATGTGCCCTCTCATCCATGTGTTTGGCCTACTTTATCTCTTATTCTCCCATCTGAATTTTAAGTTGATGTTGTATAGTTTGTGGGATAGTATTATGTTGCTGAATATCAATTGTGATTTATGTTTTCATGCATTTAAACATGCATTTTTTTATTTTTAAAAATATAAATCGTATCTTAGAATTAATAATTAAATGAGGACTGGAGAGATGGCTCAGCAGTTAAGAGCACTAACCCAGATTCAGTTCCCAGCACTGCGTGGTGATTCACAACCATCTGTCAATCTAGTTCCAAAGGATCTGACACCCTATTCTGATCTCATGGGCCACTCACTGCATACATGTGGAGCATTTACATACATGCAGGCAGAATACTCACACACAGAGACATTTTAAGTTAATTATAATTAATAACTAGAATTGTAGATGTGCAAAGCAATTGTCTTTGAAAGATAAATAAGCCAATTCTAACAATGAAACAACGAAATCTTTGACAGAAGCACATACAGAAACTGCTTTGCAATGGTGTTTCTGCGATGCAAGGCACAAAAGATGTTTACAAGTGAAAGAAAACTTACACACACGAGAAAACAACTCACCACTGCACAGCCACATGAAGAAACACTGTATGAGACTCAGTGTGTAAGAAATAAAAAAAGAACATTAAAGACTGATTATACAGAAACGTGCAGGGGAGGGGGACACAGCACCGGTGTGAACCATAAGGATAGAGTGAACATAATAGAAAAGAAAGGGAAGATTTAGAAAAAGAAAAAAAAAGAACCTTTAGAAAGATTCTTAGAAATAATTTGTCCTGGATAGCTTTAATTGTCAACTTAACTCACCCTAGAGTCAGCTGAGATGGATTTGCCCAGATGAGGCATGTCTCTTGGGGATTGTCTTGATTGTTAATTGGTACAGAATGGTCCATCCCACTGCCTGTAGGTGGTAGCATTCCCTGGGAGGAGGAGCCTAAGCTGATACAGAAGCAAGCTGAGCCCATGCCTTCAAGCCAACCAGCAAGAAGCATTCCCTCCTTCTTCCTCCTCCTTCTCCTCCTCCTCTTCCTCTTCTTCCTCCTCCTCCTCTTCCTCTTCTTCCTTTTCCTCCTCTTCCTCTTCTTCTTCTTCCTCCTCCTCTTCTTCCTCCTCCTCTTCTTCTTCCTCCTCCTCCTCCTCCTTCTCCTCCTCCTCCTTCTTTTTGTTCTTCTTTTTCTTATTCTTCTGAGACAAGGTGTCTCTCCATACCTCTGGCTGTCCTAGAATGCACTATGTAGACCAAGCTGGACTTGAACTCAAAGATTCATCTACCTCTGCCTCATGAGTGCTGGGATTAAAGATATATTTGTCTACACAGGTTCCTCCATGGTTTTCAGGGCATTCACACACCAGGCAGGCAGGGGAAAGGAGAGCCTGAGACAGGGCAGAACCCGGTTTGATTCCAAGTGAGTGGCAAGTTCCTGTTGGGTTCCTACCCTGACTTCCCCAGTGATGGACTGTGAACTATATCAACTGACATAAGCCCTTTCCTCTCCTAAGTTACACTGGGCATAGTGTTAACCACAGTAACAGAGATGAAATAAAGCACCATTGAAATTAATAGAAAATAAGAAAAAAACAGAGAGAGAGAGAGAGAGAGAGAGAGAGAGAGAGCGAGAACAGAAGACAGTGCTGAGGAAATCTGAGAAAAATACCCTGAGATGAAGAAATGCAGACCAGCATTTAACATGAGCACAACAAAACTGCAAAATACCAATAGTAGGACAGGCCAGAAACAGTCCAACACGAGAATATGACTACCGGGCTGCGACCTGTCTTGCTGCTGGGGTGCCTGGAATGCAGCCAGCAAGCCGTTTGTGTTTTCCGGGAGTGGGAAGCCATGGAATCTGGGGCAATAGCTGTGGTTCCCAGTCTCCTGTGTACCCAGGTACTGCTGGGAGAAGCTGGGAGTCCCAAATGGGGATTTGCGATCCACACTTCCCCTCAGGGCATCCATCCATCAACCAGGAAGGGGAAGACAGAGCCTGAGACAGGGCAGAACCCAGTTTGATTCCAAGTGAGTGGCAAGAAAGGCTAGAAGAGAGGACTTCTCCAGGAGGCCACCCTGAAACCCCCATGGTGATTCAGTCCTCGCTTGTTCAAACTGTTTTATTTGATGATGGATGTGAATGCACGCACCTTACTCAGGATGAACCAAGGGATTAAATACCTTTAGCAGGATGGAATGCCCAGGAAGGGGAAGAACACTCATTGGCTGAACACTCCAGTCCTATCTAGATACCTCATTAGCATACAGAACTCAATTCTGAGATTCACAGGATCTGAGCTCACTCAATTTTACTAGTTTTTCTGTCTGGTGGCTCAGTCCACTTGCCCCACATATGACCCAGCCTCACTTATATGAGCTCAGAAATGGGTACAACTACTTTGCCAAAACAGTTGTTGCCTCTAGCAAATAAGGAAGAGTTCCGACTGGGTGGAAAGATGGGGTCTGCCAGGAATGTCCCCCATCTTCATGGATGTATTAGAAAGCTGTGCGGAGAGTCTGTGCGCCTTACACACACACACACACACACACACACTTTAAAACAGCAATCAGAAGGAAGGAAGAATCTATAAAGGGCTTAGAACCTCGGTTTTGGCTAGAAACAAACAGTTCTGAACACAATTAAATAGTAACATCGAAATGCCAGGGAAAATAAACATCAAGGAAACACACCTTCCTAACGAACTAGGACTAATGAATGCAGGCAACTAAAGGCATTTGCAGACCAAGATGAAAACAGCCTCTAAACCACGTACTTCCGTAAGTATGCAATAAAGAATTCTATGATAAGAACTAGACTCATTCACTTCCAAAAATCAAGACACTGAGGCACTTTAAAAATGAAATAGATTATCACTCAGGGACGCACAGAGACACGGAAAGATACAGGACAAGGTTCCTGTCTGCACTGCTGCTGTTTGAAACAGCACGGATGAGAAATAACCTCAGCCTTCAGTAAGGGAATTGATTTGAGCCATGATGCAAAGTAAACTTATTTCGGTCGGAGGCAGATTTTCCATCATTAACAACTGCAGAGTGTCGATGCATTTGTAACAGGGATTGCTCAATGACTTCCTTTCAGGGAAGGAGACAGTGAATAAGTCGGGACATGAAGCATGATTTCACAATTTCGTAGTAAAACAGGCGCTGCAGAGAACAATGGGGAAAGACTTCTACCATTTGTACAAAACAAATCAAGATGAAAGAGTTCACCCCATGATTGCTGTGTGCCCTTGAAGCTGATGAAGATGGCTTTATCAATGCATGGAATATGTATAAGGATAACAATATTTTGCTGTATGCCTCCCATATCCTTGAGCCGTGAGTCTTTTGAATATATTGCATAAGATAAACACTGAAACAATGCAACTCTTGTTTAGGTGAAGGCTAGAGATAATAACTTTGCATTGATTGTGCAAGAATAGATTTAAGATTTAAAGAGATTTGAGGCTGATAACCCAATTGGAGGAGTATTTGCCTTGCACACATAAAAACCTGAGCTGGATTCTATAAAACTCATGTAAAAAAAATGTCCCATACTTGCAACCCCAGCAGAGGAGGTGTAGACAGAAACAGGCAGATCCCTGACTAAGACAATCTTGTGATGGTTTGTATATCCTTGGCCCAGGAAGTGGCACTATTAGGAGGTGTGGTCTTGTTGGAGAAAGTGTGTCACTGTCAGGAGTGGGGGGTAAGACTTCAAGAGACCTTTCTCCTAGCTGCCTGGAAGTCAGTCTTCCTAGTGGTCTTCAGATGAAGATATAGAACTCTCAGCTTCTCTTGCACCATGCCTGCCTACACTGCCATGCTTCTACCTTGATAACGGACTGAAACTCTGAACCTGTAAGCCAGCCCCAATTAAATGTTGTCCTTATAAGAGTTATCTTGGGGCTGGAGAGATGGCTCAGTGGTTAAGAGCACTGACTGCTCTTCCAGAGGTCCTGTATTCAATTCTCAGCAACCACATGGTGGCTCACAACCATCTGTAATGGGATCCGATGCCCTCTTCTGGTGTGTCTGAAGACAGCTACAGTGTACTCATATACATAAAACAAATAAGCTAAAAAAAAAGAGTTACTTTGGTCATGATGTTTGTTCACAGCAATAATGCCAAACAAAGACACTTGTCAAAAACT